CAATACTCATAGAACAAAGACATCCGATAATAAATATTCAACAACGGGCAATTGGAATTCGTTATTCAAAAACACCATAAGTTAATTTTTAATATGGCGTTGTTTAATATAAGGTCTATTAAGTCAAAATTAGACATTATTTATAATTTTTGTCAAAGTATATATATATATATATATATATATATATAAATATATATATATATATATATATATATATATATATATATATATAAACCCAATATATAAAGTAGAGTAGAGACTCTACTTTATATATTGGGTTTAAACTATCATAAATATATTTATTTATATAGATCATTTATATAATTTTTGTCAAAGTATATATATATATATATATACATATATATATATATATATATATATATATATATATATACATATATATATATATATATATATATATATATATATATATATATATATATATATATATATATATATATTGTTATATAACAATTTTAACAAAAATAATTTTAGTTTTTTACTTAATAAATTAAATATCTATATTTAAATTTTAATTAGAAAAATTGAAAAATTATTGTATAAATATAATAATTGTATTAACGCGGTTGATTTTCTTAAAAACTGTATATATATATACATATTATTGATGAAAATCACAGCATTTTTGGCGTTAGTTAACTTCCAATTTAACTTTTCGATTTTTTTAACGGTTGAACTAAAGAAACTTGAAAATGATTTACCATCAACCGTTAGAAAAATTGATAAGTTAAATTGGAAGTTAACTTACGCCGAACATGCTGACAGTCTTAATCCAATATATGTATATACATATACTATATGTATATATACTTTTTCTCTCTTTAAATATATATATGTTTTTAATGTATATTCATTTCTATTTTCGCTATAAAAAAGTAAATTTTTTCAATTATAACAACGTACAGAAGAACCTATTACATCGAAAAATAAATAAGAATGATTGGAACGGTTTTATTGCTAACTTCCTCGATTCTTTTTTTATGGCATCCATCAGAAGCTGTGAAATGTTACAAGTGTGAAGCGATAGATGCCTGCAACAGTCCGGTAAATGCTAATGATCCTGGAGTATCCGTGTGTAATGATAACTACTGCTACAGTTCAAAAGTTGAATTTATGGGTTAGTAAGAGCTTTAGTAGCGGCATCACGTCTAGTTTTAATTAGTAGGGTAACAGTAGTAGGTTGTTTTTCTAATTGTTGAAAATTTGATTTTCGTGGTTAGTAGTAAGCACCGGTTGTAATATGTATTATAGTAGTAGCGGTAGCTAGTATACTAATTGTTGTAGTAGATGTCGCGTAAACAAATGTTAAAATTTTAGAATTAGTTTCAGCAGAAATGTAAATAGTAATAATGTTGGGAATAGTAACATGGCTTTTAGCAGTAACATTGAAAGACGTAACTTTGTTATAGTAACCTAATGATAGTTAATGTTAATAATAAACGTTGAGCTCTAAAAATAAAGCGCTAGTAATTAAACAAACGCGTCCAGATAGTAAAAATTTTTTTCGGGGTTGCAAAACAAAATTGTTGTTAAAATATTTGTTGGTGAACTGATGATTAATACGAAACGATAATGATATGATACATTTGCATTTAAAAAATTAGATTTTAATTATTGTTAATATTTGCTAATTAATAAAATATTGCAATTCAATGAAGGTATGACTGCATCAGTGAGAGACTGTGGATCGGACGTGGCTTTCAACGAATGTCAGACAATGACCATAAGTGGCATGCCGACAACCATTTGCACTTGTAAAACAGATTATTGTAATGGCAGTTAAAAAACTACAAAATCAAATGACACAAAATAAATGCTCACATTTTATTTGAGAACTATCTAATAAACCCATTATTAATTAAGTAAGCCCAATAAAAATAAACGCTATTACCTTCA